TTATCTTGAGAAGATAAATTACAACGATCATTTTGGACTACGGTAAAAAGGATTAACTATGACTTGATGACATAAAAGAAAATATAAAAGAAAATATGATATTAATGACATACAAATACTATGATTTGATAGTCAAATTTAATGTGATATTATTATATTTATTTGATTTATTGGTTTATTTTATAAAATTCATACATATGTGTAAAACTTTTTAAAGTTTTAAAATATAATTAATTAAAATTATTTTTAAATAAGTTTTTATTTCATTCATTTTAATCTTAATTTTTTATATCTTATCAATTATTTTTAAATAAACTATGCGACTAATAATATATCAATTAATATATCAATTAAGATATATTATAAATTTGATTAGATTTTGATTATGATTATTGACTAATAAAAAAAAATTTCAATTATAATGAGATTGGGATGCCAAAAGAAATTTTTTAATTATCATTCTAAACCCTTTACTCTTATGATCTATTTTCAATCTCCCTTGATCCTTAATCAATCATTCATATCGATTCTAAGAAAAAAAAAAATACTAGTCTAATTTTTCTTGTAAATCAGTGTTTTCAAATTCCATGATGGTACAATTATATATGAAATAAATATTTTAAAAATAATATCGAAAGATACCTATCATAAATTTAATATATTATTATTTATTATTTATAATAATAATAATATAATTTTTATGCTTAATACTTTTTTCTGTGCTCCCGGACATCCTCCTCCCAAACATCCTACCCACTCATTCTTGGAGTTCTGACATCATCAACGGCATGCGTTCCGTTCAGTAGCAAAAGATTCATTGCTGCTCATTCGTGCATCAAACGGAGAACTCAATCCCAACTTAGATTCACGAGTGTCCACTTAATTACCGCTAACATTCCCCCGAACCCAAATCGCTCTTTCTACTGCTCCGCCAAGGCTAAGTAAGACGACAAAGCCAAAGAAGAAGAGAAAGCAGATGGGGGTGGGTCCCTTTTCAGCCTTAGCCGTCAGCATTGACCTCTGAAGACGACTTCAGCATTGAAGGCGCTGTCCCGTCTCAGCCTGCTTTTATCACATGCCAACAGATGGGAAGCAATGTTGCAACATCCATTTCGTTCTCGCTTTGACAATGACCCTACCATGACTGTTCTTTCTCCTTCAAACCCAGCCACTTTCCATGATGGTGGTGGCATCCGTGGAGGCTCCTTTAGGTCTCCGACTGCCTCCTCTTTTCCATCACACACACCAGAGTTAATCTCTCTATCTCTCCCGTATCAGCATAGTCTACTCTTGTAGTGTACAGCTCTCTTGTGGCTCTCAGTCGATCGCTACCAAATAGGGATCCATTGTGTGGGGTATCTTACTTGGATTTTGTGCTTCGCACTATTATTGTGTACGGTAGCAGAAGCTTGATCTCCGTCTTATCTTGAGAGAGTCGCATTAATTCCACAGTAGTACTGGTCATTTCTCTGTCCCCATCCGAGCTTCTTCCGACTCTCAAGTACCAGAAGATGCAGTATGAACTGTCAAATCATTTGTATGTACCGCAGCCTCTCCATCTCGTGTACTTCAAGCGAAATGCATCTTTGTCTCCGCCACCGGAGTCCCCATTTGGCATCAGTCCGGTCTCAGCACTCCCCTTCAGAAAGAAGAGACATCAGGTTGGATCATGAAACCTCCTCCGTCGGAATCAATCAGGCATTGTGCTGAACCAGTCGGTGTGCTGTTTCGAGGATGAACAGAATGGCAGCAGATGAGAATCAAAGTGGCAGTATCTAAATCGACATAGTGAAAGATAAACTTCACAGACCACAGACCTGTATGCATCCTTATTGAGGCTCGGTCATCAACCTGCAACATCTTTACTTCGAACTCAAACCAAAAGTGTCCCCTTCTTATGATCTGCTTCTGTCAGTTTGGCCATGATCATTTCTGGTTTCAGCTGTAGATTCTCACAGTAGCAAAGGCAAATGAGTCGAAGGGGAAGAGGCAACTTGCTCTATAGTTTTTGAGGTGGGGAAGAAGAGTGTGGTTGACACGGTCATCATTGCAGTAATCAAAAAGGAGATGGGTATAAGGATACATGGATGTTGACATCTGTACCCTGGAATCTCTCTGTACCTCATACCTCTCCGGTACCAAATCATTCCCTCATGAAAACTGTCCCTAAGAAGGCCATGCATACATCACAGGAAAGCCTTTGCAGAAACTCTTTGGAGACCTTTTAGCTTCTGTAATAGCAGTGAATTAGGGTTATAAATCTATGCAAATGGAGGTCACGTTGAGGACAAACAGGATTCATGGATTGCACTGCGTTTAGTACAGAAAGTACTGTTGTGAAGTGACTACTTGGACAGTCGTCTTTCCCTGTCACACTGTCTCCTGGCCATTACACTGTAAAGGTAGCAGCCTTGCTTGGGTATCTGATGGAGAGATATAAAGAATGGAAGGGGGGCTTCTCCCTGTTAGCAGCGTCGCCATAAAAACGAAAAACTACAACACTATCCCCCCTTCTCAGACCACAAATCCCCACTGTTTATTGTTGTCGAGAACTTTGCCTGTTGGAGCTCATTCTTTTTGCTTAGATTGAATGATCTTATTTGGTTCTCCTCTCGTTAGTGCAGTGTTAGGAGAATGGAATCCATGAGCAGCAACAACTGGTTGGGCTTCTCTCTCTCCACTCACATGAACACGGAGGTGTCTTCAGAGCCACCTCATCGCCAAACTCGACCCGCCCTTGCCGCTGCTCCGACTGCAGTAGCATGCAACTCCGGTGTATGCTACGGGATGGAAGATGAGAACGGCGGAGGACTTTACTCTCAGCTATCCATCATGCCATTGAAGTCCGATGGGTCTCTCTGCAACATGGAAGCGCTCAGGAGATCACAGCAGGAAGGTCTGCCCGGAAGCCATCGCATCGGTAATACGTTCCAGAAATGCTTGTTCTTATTCACGTTTCAATGTGATGAAGGAATGATGATGCCATCTCCATCACCAAAACTAGCAGACTTTCTCAGTGGCGGACAGCATATGGGGATCCATCACCAGTATGAGAACAATGACAGAGCAGCAATCGCTCTAAGCTTAGACAGCATGCACCGTAACGAGGAATCTGAGACCGGAGGCCATGTCAACCAGATGCAAGTGCAACAACAACTGTGCTTTGGGCCATCGCAGGAAGGGATGTGCTCTGAGGTGAGAAGCCATGAAATGGACGTGGACGCCATTCCCGGACTGAGAAATTGGGTGCACTGGCACCACAATGCTTGCAACAACGGATCGTGCGAGGAAGGAGGTCTTGGAGCTGGTAACCCTGTTGGTGCAATGGGATATGGTCATCTGCAATCTTTGAGCTTGTCCATGAGTCCTGGGGCTCAGTCCATCTATGTCACAGCTCCATTGCAGACCTCTGCTGCTGTTGCAACGGAGTGCATGGCTTCAGATGCACCAAGAAAGAGGAGGACCGGCAAAGGGGGCCGGAAGCAACCAGTTCATAGGAAAAGCGTTGACACTTTTGGGCAGAGAACGTCTCAGTATAGAGGTGTTACCCGGTCAGTGGTCATGGTGGTGATTCTTACTAGGGCCGTCATTTAGCATATCTTCTCATTTTCTTCTGTAGGATACTGCAAACATTTCATGCTTTTCGCCATGAATCAAATCAATGTTCTTTTTCTGGTGATCTTCTTTCTGGCAAAAACATATACGATGAGTTCTTTTCATGCATCAGGCATCGGTGGACTGGTAGATACGAAGCACATCTCTGGGACAACACCTGCAAGCAAGAAGGCCAGACAAGGAAAGGAAGGCAAGGTGAGCAGAGCAAATAGATTCTGTTCCGAGAACCTCTTCTCCAGATATTTCCGACTGAAAACTAAACCACGCTAACTACAAATGAAATCTTGTCTGCCATGTTCTTGATTTGGGAGATGTGTCATAAAGCATCATCAGCTTCTGCAGTTTATCTTGGTAACCTTTCCCTGAACTCAGATATCTACTTCATTTCCACCTGTCAACTTCTTCATGAGTGAGCTCAGATATACCACTCGCATTTCAATCTCTCAGGGGGTTACGATATGGAGGAGAAAGCTGCCAGAGCATATGACTTGGCTGCATTGAAGTACTGGGGTTCATCAACACACATCAACTTCCCGGTATGTTTGATCAGTTCAAATCTTCTTCATACTTGCAATACTGTGATGGGAATTCATGCAGTCGGAGAATTACCAACAAGAGCTTGACGAGATGAAGAGCATGACCAGGCAAGAGTACGTTGCCCACTTAAGAAGGTGAATCTCCTTGTACACTAATCCTAAATGGGACTGGTGGAGGTCTCATCTATCTCTGCTTCGATTTGCTTACAGAAGGAGCAGTGGGTTCTCACGAGGTGCTTCGATGTACCGGGGAGTCACAAGGTGAAGGTGACTTGGGGTTATAAGAGATGGAGCATCCACATTTATCAGCTTTGATATCATCTGCTGATTCCTTGCCATTTAATGTTGCTCTTCAGGCATCACCAGCATGGAAGGTGGCAAGCTCGGATCGGTCGAGTTGCTGGGAACAAAGATCTGTACCTTGGAACCTTCAGTAAGTTTCTGATGTCTGCCACCTTCAATAAGATCACTGTTGCATCATCATCAGCCTTTCAGGTACACAAGAGGAAGCAGCAGAAGCCTATGACATTGCAGCAATTAGATTTCGTGGGGTAAATGCAGTTACTAACTTTGACATTGCAAGATACGATGTGGAGAAGATAATGGCGAGCAGTACCTTGTTGTCGGGAGAGCTTGCCAGGAGATCAAACAAGGCAACTGATGCAGGAAAAGAGCCACCTCCAGCACAGGATAGCTGCAGAGATCTTACAGAAGAAAGCAGCTCTGGTGCGGGGTGGAAGATGGACTTCCAACAGCAAACTCCTCCCTCCGAGTACAGGAGCCCCATGGAATTCTCACCTGTTCTTCATGGGTTGGTCGTGGGAAGCTCGAGGTCAATGCAAGCGGTCGGTGACACGGACAGGTTAGGGAAGAGCTTGAGCAGCTCCGTGGATCAAACTGAGCTCTCGCTGTTGTATGCCAAGGGATCATCCCCAGAGTTCACTGGTTCTACTTGGGCTCCATCAGCGCCTCACATGCCAGTGTTCGCTGCATGGGGCGATGCTTAATCTTCTGTGGGTTGGTAATACATTTCAGATTCATGAGAAAGTCACCGAAGAGAGGAATTGCTGTGCTATTTTGGTGGAAAATACTGCAGACATGAAATAGGCTTCAGGTCTAAGGAGAAAGATGATGATGGTTTTTTAGTTAGTCGAGAAGAAGAAGAAGAAGAAGGGTTCTCTCACAGCAGATGCAGTGTAAACTTTTGACCACTCTATGATCCTTTTCGTTGTCACCACCAACATTCTCTTTATTTGTCTTGGCTGTGATCTGCTGCTCTCATCATGTCTGCATGTCTAAATTGACGATGGATCTGTGTGAATTATCATTACATCGAAGCCATTTAGGGATGCATATATAAGAATGAATATGCATTAAATCCAATTTGAGATAATAGGATACGATAAAATTTATGGTTACCCAATTCTACCAATTGACAGACATTCTAATGCCTCATTTCAGTAACATCAGTGGCTTCAATGCAACTATTAACATAATTAAAATCCTGACTACTTAGTTGTAGTTTAGCCTTGACAAAAGCTGATGATACCATCCATCAACAAAGATAGATCGAGTTGTTTCCAGGACTGAAACTCTAATCTACTATGCTTCTTGTCCCGAATGAAGCAACTTAGGATTTGTCCTGTGACCTTGCTTCTTATCAAAGGCAATTCATACACGAATCAGTATGTTCTAAATCATTACCGTCATCATAATTTGAAGACACCATAAATTAAAATCTTATTAGTATTGGCAGGACATGATAGTAAGGATTAGTTTTTAAGTTCCAATAAATCTCAAGGAGGTGAAACAAAGAATACCTTAGTCCTCAGGTAATAAGCCACTCTATCCAAGCAGTTTCATGGACTTTGCACATGTAGATGAACATAACCTGCAGTAATGGTGAAAAAGGCGAGTGAGTGCGCAGTTGGGGAACAACAAATTGCCCATCAATGGTGACCAAATCCACTATACTCACCCGGTTATTGCACACATGATGTTGAAGATAACACCCAGATCACAGAAGAAAATTGAAGCACGGCATCATAAGTAGATTTGGAGATTGTTGGAGCAGCAATCCAAGAACAAACCTTCTGCCAGTTGGGGATCAGCGCCTCAGTTGAACCTGTCTCAGTCATCTATTTAATTCACATGCATGGTAGGGAGTACAACCTATCTTGATAAATTTTTGAAAACAATGCTAAACAAATACATGTAAGATGCAGGGGTCAACTCGCTACTGATAGATCTTACAGGGTGCAGAACTAGGTAAAAAGTTGATTGATTTCTCTGAGCCACACTATCGTATGTTGAGTACAATAACCTCCTCAATCCATAAATCACATAACAAAGAACAACAATCTTGTTCTTGTTGTCAAACTCAAGCGAGCATTTTTCTCAAAGAACAGGCTTGTAGGTATTATTAATTAAACTGGTAGGACTGGGACCGTTGACCGACGGCGCATTCTGATTCTTGATATCATCTGTCTGCTGCAACTTTCTCACCAACCACAGTACTTGCATCAGTCGACGGTGCGTTCTGATTCTTGATATCATCTGTCCGCTGCAACTTTCTCACCAACCACAGAACTTGCATCAGTCCACCATTGCCAATATGCGAAAGAAGCACCTTACCTTGCAGTTTGAAGCACAAAGAAACAAACTTAACAAACACAAAAAATGATCCAATGCCCAGAAGATTTGTATTAGGGTCTCCATCCTGTTCAAAAGCAGTAAGAAATGCAAGGGTATGATCACAAATTTGAACAGAAATAGAATAATCAAAATAAATCATGAGTAAATCACAAATTATACCTCTATGCGACTTTTCAAAAACTCTTGCAAGGATTCCTTTATGAAATCTGCCAATGCTACACCAACAAACAGGCCAATTGGTACAAGAAGTTCTCTATCTCTTGAGATAGCAAGAGATATGTCCGATAAAAAGCTTATAGCATACAGCCCAATGAAGGACCACGTGAGAGCCTTTTTTCCAAGAAAGAACAATTGGCGAAGAACCATATCTTTAGCTTCCTCCCAAGGAAACTCTTTGAGCGATTTAGGAGAGGCCTCCCATATCCTATCTGCCAAATCTTTGAAATAACTAGTAGCTTTGTTTGGTTGAGCAAACTTTCCAGCAGCTTGCAATTTCATTATTGAATGTCTTATAGGTTGCCGTTTTAAGTGGTATTTTGAAGAAGGATAGAAGCCATGATGGTCAAAGGTTCTACAGCTACAGTGAGTTATTATCTGCCAAATGAAAAGCAAGAATGTTTAAGAATCCAGTAAGAAATTATTATTCACAATGCTATGCCTAGTGCAGTTTAAATCTATATTTATTAGGGAAAACATGATAAACCTAAAAGGAACAAAATAACATATTATCTCAGAAGACAGAAAAACACAAACAAGTCATATAATGCATTTCAACACAGCATTCTACAATCAACTTATACTAAATCTGGTTTTTAAAAAAAAACAAGAGATGGCTATTTTAATCAAATTCACTAGGTCGATTAAATTAACCTGGGTTATCAGGATCAAAGTACCTTAACCAGGTTTCTTTGATGCTTCATAACTTTATCGTGGCTGGCAGGCTGGAGCCTCCAGTCAATGGCTTAATGAATCTCCTCCATTCAGAACCAGACAATACCTTACGGTATCTAATCTCTTCTCATCCTTAATAATTCTCATCTTCCCTCTGATGTCATGCAAAACTCTTATAGTTATGGCAGTCTGCAAATGACCGACTTAGATGATCTATAAGTATGGAAACACAGATGTTGGTACAACTCTAAGATTTCATAACTTTGCCCTTGCAATTCGATGGCACATCCTTCAGGGATCTTAAGAACGATGGAAGCATACAACAAGCTAATCAAAGGTATGACCAGTGACAATTCTAGTGAAAGATATGGCATTAATTTCAAGAACTTCTCAAACACTAGAGCAAGCTAGGGTTGATAAAATAAAAGAATCACCACAGTGGCTGAAACTAAGATGTCTGTTTGTCATGAGTTATACACGACTAGAATCCCCAACAGTCCACCAAAATTAGTACCTCAGCTTGATATAAAGCAATCCAATTTTATCAAGTTAAACACTTTTACAGTCTAAACCTTTTTCCATCAAGACAAACCAGCATCATCTAAATTCTATATCAGTATGCAATATGTACAAGCAGACATGAAGAACATCACGATTCTCAAGTGAATGTGTCGTTAGAAGTCGAGCAATCTCCTTGAAGGATCTCAACGTTTCGGACATGACCACAAGCACATCACCATCGTCTGGAAATAACCTTCGGTCACAATAGTTAGATTAGCTCGGAGGAATGTCCAAATAATTAGGAATTCCCTCGAAGTTCGACCTAAAAGATCGTCGAGGGACTTGGTAAAGCAAAGTGCATTATTGGTGGATTCCCGAACCTTCATTTCTCTTACCTTGTCCCCATATCCCCATCAACGAAACCCACCGATCCTCACAAAATAACGCACAGAGAATTGTTCAGCGAATTGAAAGAGGTTCGAACTTACTTTACTTGTGACCAGGTACATCGAACCGGAAGAAGCCGTGATCACCGAAGCCATCATCCGTGGTGCCGACGGTCGAATCCTCTCTTTCCGCCTCGGTTAGGGTTTTCTCTTCAGCATCACTTTCGACTGCTTCCGCATGCCTCGCAAGCCTCACAACCCCAGCTATGATGAAGCCGATGGGTAAAGAAGGCGAGAGACTTTAGGATTCGTGTTCACGCTAGTACTGTCCGTCCGTCCGTTTTGGTTGGGCCTGATTGATCATCGTGGGCCAGGTCGTAAATTATTAGGCCTTTTTTAGCGCTGCTCGCACTAT